TTATAATTATGCAAATTTAAAAAGTCACATCGATTTTGGACTGTTCAACAAACTCAAGTCACGAGAATAACGTCAAATATTTTTGAGAGGCATAAAAAGATAGAATACATAAAAAAAAGTTTATTCTTGAGAAAATATCGCTCTGTAAATGTACACAAATGTTTATAAATATATATACACGCAGACATTCCTTCTCTCTCGCTTTTTCTCTATATATATGTATACATATAAATTAAAAACTTAAATACTCGCGCTCTCTGTCGGCGTGATGTGTAAATATAATTATAATTATAAATATGTATCTATGTGTATATATTAAGTATGTTTTTTTTACACTCAGAATCCATTTCATGAGAAATAAAATATAATTATGAAGTCAATATATAAAACAAGGTGGAGGATGAGTGACAAATGGCTGAGTTGCTCTAGCTTTGCGTGTCCGTCCGCATGCTCGTCCGTATTCTATTCCATTATTGCTTATTATCGATAAACATCAATCATTTCATCTCAAAAGTTGTTATTTTCAAGGTACAGGGTATCTCTTATTCGAACATGACTACTTATGCATTTCTAGATTTATTTTTTGTTAAATATATGTAACTGGCAGAAAGAGGTATTGCCCGTAAAGTATATATATTACCCGTAAAGTATATATATTACTGATCAGGACAACGAGCTGAGTCGATACAGCCCAGTCAGTTCCTTATGAATGGTCTTGTCGTCGTTAATACTATAATAAACTTTTGTAAGTCCTGCATTGTAAAACTTTATAAATAGGTTGTTTATTTTAATACCCTGAACCCATTTTCAATGGGAATCAAGGTATAATGGTTTTGTTGAAATGTATGTAACAGGCAGAAGAAGGCGTGGCAGACCCCATAAAGTATATATATTCTTGATCAGGGTGACGAGCTGAGTCGATTTGGCCCTGTCCGGCCGTCTGTCCGTATGTATGAAAGCGTCAATTTCGGAAGATATAAGAGACTTCAAATTTTATCAAGTTTATCATTAAAAATCGATAACTCATCCCGATCTTTTTTATCGATAAAAACCCCTATCAAAAACCAGTTATAAAATTATATCTTCTACACCTTTATTGCTAGAGTCCCCAAATTTTCTATGTATGCAATTTATACAATTTCGATTTTTGTTAAAATTTACCCCCCACCTCTATGTCTACCCCCTCACCTTCACTTTAGTAAAAGGCGTATTTCAAATACTAGAGATTTGTGCTTTGGCAAATACATGCATATCCATGTTATAATCATAATCTGAAGAAGATCGTATGTCCACAAAAAAAGTAAATAAACAATTAAGTTCTCATAGTAAGCGAACACTGCAGCCCATGCGTATTTATGCTTGTGTGTGTATGTGTGTAAATGTTTCTGTATGTCTGTGTGTATATGTGTGTGTGTGTGTGTGTGTGGGTATGCGTGTGTGATGAATATATACTCGTGTATATCTAATATAAAATATTATTTTTGTATATTTGGGATACGGTCCCCTGCCCTCAAAATTTGGCTAAATCGATTGGGCAGATAAATCCCTGGTAAATACGCACATTTACAGTCGATAAAGAGAGTTCATCTGCGAGAAAACCACACCGTCAGCAGAGATCGTGTCTATGCAGAAAAAAAAAACCGAATAATTATTGGATTATCAGCTCATAGAGCTCTTCAGGGAATCTCGTAGTAGAGCAATGTCGAACAGAGAACCCTAATTGTTTGTTTAGAATTTGTTCATCTCAACAGAACTTTTTTTAGTGGAATTTAATTTAGATTTAAATGATTTAAGATTTATTTGGAGTTACTGTTGACTTCTATCATTGTCCGAAATATACTTTCTACCCTTCTTTGAGAGCGTTATAAAGTAAACAAGTAAAAAGGCTCGAGACTGCTCGACTAGGAGATACCCTAAACCCTCTAAGCTACACATGCATCCACACGCACGCATAAGCCTGCGCTCTGCTGCGCGACTGCGCTTGGGCTGCGCTGCAGTGTGGTCAATATTATGAGAATTTTTTTGTTGAATAATTTCCTTTGTAGACATACGATCTTAATGATCGTGTGTACATTCCAAAGCAAAAGTCTCTAGTACTTACAATTTGGGGGAGAAGGAGGTGTGATATCCAAAATCTGTAAATTACAAAATCTTTGTATCGTTTAACTTTATATACAACGCAAATTTGAAGAAAGGGTTAAAAGAGTTCAAATTAGGCTAAAAAAACAAAATCAATTTTTCGATTATTCTCGATAAAAACGTTATCGGATGATTTATCGAAAAAATATGATAAACTTGTACTGCGTATGGTACACACGAGTATGCATGCCGAATTTCAGCTCTCTAGCTCTTATAACTTCTGAGATCGACGCACTCAT